TGCAGTAAGTTTTACAGCTATTTTTATGTTAGCTCCTGAATAGTTTTTATGCAATGTATACCAGCCTCACATATCAAAAACATGAACTTAGTCTATTTTATCATAGCCATATGATTAAGATAAAATCATAAGTCTTATCTTTGCTTACTACTTTATAAAATGAAAAGATTTTGGATCAAGTACTTTCATGATAGGCACAGCTGTCTTGGTGACTCAAAATCTAATCCTGGATAAGCTTTGGCACTTAGCACCACTGCTTACAGCCACCACCACATCTCTGTCTGGCTCTTCCTACCCCTTTTCACACTATTTTATTATCTACTTTGCCTTTAAAGGGGAATGGAGGTAATCAATCAAACAAGCAAACAAACTCCAAGCATTCCAAACCACTTCTGAATCTTACAGATAATTTTTCTTGAAAGTATTACTAACTACTTACTAACACTATAAAACCTTTTAACTATATGTAACTATAAAATCTAATCTTGATCTATTCTGTTTTTCGATTTGCTTTGTTTTTAACATTTGCATTTATTAGCAGAAAGTGGTATTTTAATGTGATGCAATAACATTCTTTTTTTCAAAACAGGATGAACAAAAATAATTTTCACTAGGGAAAATGTATTGGTACATATTAAGCAGTTAATTCTAGCCACAGACTTAAAATTTTGTGGATGTAACTGGCTAGCATGCAGAAACCAAGAGGCTGCAGAGTACTTATCCCTGAACAGGACACCTATATCAAATTTCTGCCTCCCAAGGCTCAGGGATCATTGCAGAAGAGGAGGTGGAAAGATTCTAAGAGCCAAAGGTGGTGGATGGAAACAGAGTTTTCCAGACAGCTGGTTAGTTACTCATATGAATTCACCACAATGGTTGACAGCATGCACAAGTCCCATGCAAACTCAAACTAGAGGGAATCCTAGGAAAGATGTAGGGAAGTGGATAAAATGCCCCAACCCTACCCAAGGAAGTACTGGCAATGGATGGCAGTTGAGAGTCAATCTCTTTCAAGGATGGGACTCTTGGTCGGTTAACCAAGCTCCAATGGATGGACCCACACTGAAGAACACTTGGGGACACAAATTAGACTCTATAGCCCTTATCATATTTTAATTTGTAGATATGAAACTTTAAGTGGTTATAAAGTTATTTAGGTGCTACTCCGCTTGCCCAAGATTTTTAACATGTCTTTATGCTGTCACTAATTAGCATAATACTATACAGCATACTAGTATAATTGTTTTATCCCTTTCCCAAGCTATACCAGTTTGGCTGAAAAAGGAATGTGTGTTAATTATGTGTACATGCCTAGATCCTAACAAAATATCTATAATATAGTTAAAAGCTAGATATTTTCTGAATAATTTAAAACATTTCAAGAATTCCAACCAAATAATGAATCTGAATTCCCTCAAAACATCTAATATGCAATACTTAGCTAGTTATGCTGTCCCCTGCTTTCTCCTCTCCTCTCAGGCCTAGTCCCCTTCCTGTTCAACCCACAAGAGACCTGTGGACTAGCTTCCTGTGTCTCGATTCCTCTGCTCTAAGACTAGCACCATGCTCCTCACTCCAGGACTTAGAACTATTCTGCTTAGGTAGCTAAGATTCTCCCCACGATATCCTCACCCCTACCTTGGGCCTAGGCACCCTCCTGCTCCTCCAGCCAGAGAGCTCTGAGCTACCCTGCCAGAACCCAGCCACTGGATCCCCACAGTCACAAGTTGGGCTTAAGCCCCTTTTCCCTGCTGGAGAGCTCTTGACTAGTTAACTTGGAACCATCTTGTCATGCTAATAAAAACTCAAAAATGAGAACTTGAAGCATACAACAACTATTCACACCGATGAGAAAGCAACCAAGCCACATCAACAATATAAACAGAACCAAACTTCAACCAAACAAAAGAAACCTAGAATTTCATATCAGACACACAACTAACAAAAGAAATCATATGCCCAGAACACAATGGAAAAACACAAATAATATTTAAAAAAATATATATATATGTCCCTACCAAAACCCACCAGTCCTACAGAAGTATACTATAATGAGAACTACCAAGAGGAACCCCAGGATGCAAAATTTAGAAGAACAATCATAGACATGATCAAAGAATTCAACAACTTTAACGAACACACAAACAACTCAAAGAACCTGAAAGAGGATGGAAATAAACTTCTGACTGAAGCTCAAGAAAATATGAATATATGGCTAAATGAAATAACAAAAACAATTCAGAACTTGAAAAGTGAATTCACAAAAGAGATAGAAATATTGGAGAAAACTAAGTCAAAATGAAGACAGAACTGAAAAACTCAATAAGCCAACTTGAAAAGACAGGAGAATTCCTCACCAACAGAATGAATGAAATGGAAAACAGAATATCAAGACTGGACAACAAAGTTGAAGAACTAGACTGCTCAAGTGAAGAAGATAAAAAAAATTTTAAAACACAGAAATGGAATATGCAGAAAATGGGGAACTCTATGAAATGACCAAATCTACACATTATAGA